CTCCATTTCAAGCTGTCTTTCATATTTTCCATTACTTTGTCATTTTGCTGTACACCCTAAGAGAGGTTTAAAAGCTGTTTCCTCCAATACCCTTTCCTTTGATTAAAATTTTAATATTGGCAACCATAATCATAACTTCCAGAACATTTTCTTCTTTTCTAATTGCAGTGTCTTCCTGGAAGTCCTTTCTTGTTTCATGGGCACATTTTCTTATTCATTTACTTCCTTCAGTGCTGTTTGTTTTTAGCCATTTCATCCTTTTTGGTGCCACTGAAAGCAGGAGGCAGTGCACATGGTTCTCTGAGGCATCGGGTGGGGCTGGGTCCCCTGCAGAAGGGCATTGGGGCCCTTTGCCCCTCTGTCCCCTGGTCCATGGTGCTCCTGCTTAGCCTTTTTTTTTTTTTTTTTTTTTTTTTAAAATTTTTTTTTTTTTTTTTTTTTGGCATGTTTATTTATTTATCTGTTTGTTTGTTTGTTTTGTTTATACATGCACTGGGTACAGTCAGAAGCGCTGAGAGAATTCACCAGAGCCAGAGCGGGGAGCAGAGCAGGCAGAAGGACCGAAGTACACTGCTGAGGGGAGCAGCGGGCGGCAGGAGAGGTCTGCGCGCCATGCGGGACCCTCCTCCGGTGGCCGGGGAGCAGCCGGGGATCGAACCGGCGCCGCAGAGGCCGCGGGCAGGTTCGCAACCCAGCGCTCAACCGCTGCGCCACCGGGGAGGCCCCTGCTTAGCCTTTTAATGCCTGTGAAGTCATGACCCCTGCATATTTTGGGGGGACTGATTTCATTCTGGGGACAAATACTGACTCTTAAGTGTGCAGTGGTTCTGAGATGATCTTCTAGCTAATCATCTTGGGGTCTCTCCCACTGGTGCCATTACGTCAGAATAAGGGGACAATGCATAGAATACATGTGGCTGCATTTGCCACAGTTGTGGGAGGGAGTCTTGGGAATCAGCAGCACCAGCGATACCCACTAAAGCTGTGGGCATGAGTGAGATTGCCCAGGAGGAGCAGAGAGCAGAGGGAGAGTGAAGGCCGCCCAGGGTGGACCACTTTGGGAGGCAGCCGGCAAGGATCAGAGGGGATGACCAGAGAGAGAAAAAGGAAATCAGGTGAGTGTGAAGGCAAGGGGGAGAGCAAGGCTCAAGAATGGAAGCAAAATGTCTAATCTGCCCAGGGGAGGCTAAACAATTTCTTTTTTTTTTTAGAGGCATGTATTTTCATTTATTTATTTGTTTGTTTGTTTGTTTGTTTATACACGCACTGGGTACAGTCAGAAGCGCGGGAGGGTGAGAGAATTCACCAGAGCCAGAGCGGAGAGCAGAGCAGGCGGAAGGACCGAAGTACACTGCTGAGGGGAGCAGCGGGTGGCAGGAGAGGTCTGCGTGCCATGTGGGACCCTCCTCCAGTGGCCGGGGAGCAGCCGGGGAGTAGCCGGGGAGCAGCCGGGGAGCAGCCAGGGAGCAGCCGGGGAGCAGCCAGGGAGCAGCCAGGGATCGAACCGGCGCCGCAGAGGCCGCGGGCAGCTTCACAACCCAGCGCTCAACTGCTGCGCCACCAGGGAGGCCCTAAACAATTTCTTTTGATTAAAATATCCAGGTCATGCTTTTGGTGCAAGCAGCTCCTGTAACAGGGTAGAAGAGTCCAGAAGGCCACAGCGGGTTGCAGAGTGATGGGAGATGAGCTAATGTAGTTTGCTAGCATAGACAGCCCTTTTCAGAAGTGGGCTGGGAAGGAGGTGAGGGGTTGTGTTATGTGGTGAGGAATGGAAAATTAGTTGGTCACTGGTGAGAGTGGAAGAATTTATTTATAGAGCAAAGAGCCTGCCTTGGGTAATACTGTGCATGGTATGACTCTGACAAGCACACCCCACTGAGAAGCATCTAGACACATGACACAAAATCAAGCAAACAGACTTTAAAATGCACAGCTGAGGTTCATGAAAGTCAGGGGGATCCCCAGGAGCCATGCATGAAGAGGAAATGGAAAACCAGAACCGTGAGCTGCTGGGAGGTTATAGATATTGGCCATGAAAGGGCTAGGGTTTTACAGCCGCCTACAGATTAAAGATGAGGCCTCAGCTCAAGTGTTGAAAACTGAAACCCTAATATAAACGCTAAGACTCTTAAAGGACTCCCCCCTCAGTGAAGAGCAGAGCAGAGCAAACAAACACACAAACAGGGCCTCCCTGGTGACTCAAGGGGTTAAGCATCAGCACTATGAAGCTATCTGCAGCCACTGCAGCATGAGTTCAATCCCCAGCCAGGGAGCTACCCACATGGCACGGCAGACCTCTCCTGTCTTGTCCACTGCTCCCCTCAGCAGTGCATTTCGGTCAATCTGCCTGTTCTTCTCCCTACTCTGTCTCTGGTTAATACTCTCACACTCCACCCCCCCGCCCCGTGCACCCGCACCTCTGTCCTACACTCCAGTTCTTGTATGCATAAATAAATCTTTAAAAAACAAAACAAGGGCCTCCCTTGGTGGTGCGGTGGTTGAGCGCTGGGCTGCAGAGCTGCCCGCAGCCTCTGCAGCGCAGGTTTGATCCCTGGCCGCCGGGGAGGTTCCCACATGGCGCGCAGACCTCTCCTGCCCCGCCCGCTGCTCCCCTCAGCAGTGTATTTCATCAGTCTGCCTGTTCTGCTCCCCGCTCTGCCTCTGGTGAATTCTCTCACTTTCCCGCGCTTCTGACTGTACCCAGTGCTTGTACAAATAAATAAATAAATAAATCTTAAAAAAAAAAACAAACCCACTTTCCCATCACCCTGGGGAGGACAAAGGTAACTTGTTTGTCTCATCCTGAGATCTGGGGGTAAAGAATTCATAACCAAGGGCTGGCTCTCACTTGAATCTGCGTGGTCTTGGGTGCCGCTTAACAACTAACATGGCAGCAGACATGGAGCAGACACAGACCTTCTCTATGGGACAAATCCTCAGAGCTGGTCACAGGGATGCCCTGGGGCAGAGCTGCTGGAGCTGAGCTCTCAGGCCTGCCTGAGAACGAGGAAAGCAGACACATCCTCGCACACCAGACAACAAGCTTAGTACATGAAGGACCATAAAGTATGTTCTAAATATCAAAAATAACTCGACATGGGAAAGTAATAAGACAGTGTAGATGAGAGGGAGAGTTTAAAATAGAAAGGAGAAAGGGTAAAGCGAACAGATCTAAGAATCTGTCCACGTGCCATTTCCTTGGGCTCCTATTGCTTTTATTTTTTTTTTTTTAATTTTTTTTTTTTTTTATAGAGGCATGTTTATTTCTTTATTTATTTGTTTTGTTTGTTTGTTCTGTTTACACATGCACTGGGTGCAGTCAGAAGCGCGGGAGGGTGAGAGAATTCACCAGAGCCAGAGCGGGGAGCAGAGCAGGCAGAAGGACCGAAGTACACTGCTGAGGGGAGCAGCGGGCGGCAGGAGAGGTCTGCGCGCCATGTGGGACCCTCCTCAGGTGGCCGGGGAGCAGCCGGGGATCGAACCGGCGCCGCAGAGGCCGCAGGCAGCCTCGTAACCCAGCACTCAACCGCTGTGCCACCGGGGAGGCCCTCCTATTGCTTTTAGACCACGGTCTGGGGCTGGGAATAGAAAGATGACTTTGGCTGCAGCCAAGTGACATTCGTCCATGCCTGCATCCTTCCAGCTGTCCTTTCCCAGCATCCGCAAATGTCACCGCTGGGAATGTCCCAGCAGAGCAGCCCATTCAACTGCTTATTTTTTTTTTTTTTAAGATTCATTTATTTATGCACAAGAGCTGGGGTACAGGCCAGAGGTGGTGGTTGAGAGGATTCACCAGAGACAGAGTGGGGAGCAGAACAGGCAGAGTGACTGAAGTACACTGCTGAGGGGAGCAGCAGGGGACAGGAGAGGTCTGCTGCGCCATCTGGGTCAGCTCCCTGGCCAGGGATTGAACTCGTGCTGCAGTGGCAGCAGATTGCTTCATAGTGCGGTGTTTAACCCCTGTGCCACCAGGGAGGCCCCTCATTCAACTTTTTAACTCTCTCGTATCAGAAAGAACATGAAGCCCAGTAATAAATTTAAAAGTCACACTTCTTCAGGTGAAAGGGGAGCAGAGCCAGATCAAGAGCTATGGCCTCGCCCCGGGGCCCCTTCCACACCATTCTGTCTAAACTTTCAACACCTCACCTGTTTCCTGGTGCCCTGGTCTGGTCATGCCCCCTGAGCACAGTCCCCACAACCCAGGCCTATCAGCTGATGGTGACAATGAGGAGTGACATAGCCCCCAGCTTCTGAATGACCCGGGGTGGGGGGCTCTCCCTCATGTCAGGTACACATCCCAGACTTATTTGGCCCCCTTTGCCCCCCTCACCTCCCACCCCTGACCCTAGAGATACTGGGAGCTCCTTGAGGGCAGGGCCCAGGTCTGATTCCACATCCAGGGGCTACTCATTCCCTGCTGCTCCTTCAATATCGATGTCTGACAGGTTAGAGGGGGGCAGGAGGGCTCCCTGATCCTCCTGAGCTGGAAGAACCTAGTGCTGCCCTCTGCGTGGCAGCGCTCCAGGGTGTGGGTGACCTCAGGAGGTCCCGGGGCATTCAGCAAACAACGGGATGGCAGCTCCAGCACAGGCTCGCGCGTTCTGGGTGTAGCGCTAGGGCGTCCACACTTCCCTGACATGTGCTTATCCAGCCCTTCCCTTTTTTTTAAAGTCTAGTTGACAAAGAACATTGTTGCCATTGCAGGTGTACACCATAATGACTGGCCATTTGTGTACACTGAGATGATCTCCACAGTGAGTCTATTTACCGTGTTTTCTTATCATCCTAGCCTTTGAGCAGGTCTTTGGGTTCATGCCTCTGGCAGGGAACAATGTCAAGTGAGAGCTTAGTATCTTTATTTACATTCTACTTATTTTCACCTCTCACCTTCTATGTATGGCATGTGATACTGGTTTTTCCATTTACAGAAGCGATACCAAAAAAGATTCCTTTAAAAATAAATTTATTAAGCAAAATATTAATCCAATTTAAAGAAAAAATAGAAAGTAACTCACAGTACAGGTGGTAAACCGATATGGCAAAGGTCCTAACAGGCACGACTGAAGTTTGGGAAAACAATCCTGGGGAAGTGGAAACTCCTGGTGGCTCCTCTGTCCCTGGCTCCTTTCCCCAAGGGGAGTCAGCTGATGCAGATGGGGCCAAGGGCAGTTCCAGGCTCTATTTGGAGGGTGTGGAACAATATAAGTAAGCCGGTCTTGGGGCAAGTCTTTCCGGACCTCGGACCTCGCTGGGAGGGAAGATGGCCGTGCCCCCAGGACAGTGCTCCTTTGCACAGTGATCCAACTCCTAGGCCCTGCCTCCCTCACCAGGAGGGGTAAGATCTGGAGGGCTGAGATCTGCCAGCCTGGAGAGGACAGTGGGAGGAGCCCATGGGTCCCCTTGGGCTCTAGGTCCCAGCTGCAGGCAGGAGAGGGGCTCCCCAGCTCAGCTCGCCACATTCCCTGCTGCGAGCTGGGAGTGAAGGCCACAGTCCGCACGCAGTAACATGTTCCTTTGTCTGGTCTTGACCTCTTTATCTCTTCCTGAACGTAAAGGGATTTGTGGCTCTGGGATGCCGGGTTGCATCCTCTCCTGCTAGTGCGACTGACCTCTGTCATCACCACACCGGTCTGTTCTTCAGTGTCCAGGGGAGCCCTCACCCCAATATTGGCATCTCAGGCCCACATTGAAGGAAGGTAGAAGCCGTGTAGATGCTATATCCTGCCTGTCCGGTACCTTGAATTCTTTACTCCAAACGTAACCTTGTGGCTTCTGTTCTCCAGTTCTCTGCCCGCAGCCCTGGGCAGCTAAGCAGAGGCACCACCAGGCTCTCGCAATGTCTCTGTCCACACTCAGCCTGCCCAGACCAGATCCAGGGAAACTGGAATCCCGATGTAAAAGGCTGGGTGTTCTTCTCTGGGGGAGCCCTCGGGTTCCTAGACTGGAGCCTTCTGAGGTTAGGCCTTCCTCAGGGGTCTCTGGGAGGCCGGACCCCGTGGCCCTGGGGATTCAGAATCCAATGCTGGTCCGGCCTTCACGCCTCCAGAAAGCTGAGATCTGCTCCTGGGTGACCCGAGGCTGGAGGCCCCACTCAAGATCAGGACTTCCGGGTCGCAGCCTCCGGGTCTGGGGGCTCCCCCAGTACACACTGGCCTCTGGCCTCTGCTCTGCTTCAGTCCAGCTCACCAGGCCCGGGAGGTAGGGCCTCCCTTCCCAGGCCTGGGTCCCCCTGAAGGTACTACTTCGGGATGGGGTTTTGGGTGGGATCTGGGGGGCCAAGGAACTGGGAGGGGACTGTGGGGCTGAGGGGGCTGGTGGGGCTAAGGGGGCTGGTGGGGCTGTTGCTCGGGCCTCCAAGGTGCCCCCAGGGGTGGGAGGGTCTGGAGCCCTGTCAGTCAGCAGGGGCATCACAGAGCCATACCAGTCCTCAGAGCGTTCTCTTGGGGTGCCTATGGGTTCGATCCACAGCTCTCCTCCAGGGCGCCAGACCAGGGTGGGGGCGCGGTTGGCAGGGTCTGGACGAAGAGATCGGCGGAACAGGCTTTCAGCTAGCACAGCAGTAGCTATGAGGAAGAAGGCAGCCACAGAGGCCAGGGCCAGCATGATGGGGATGCAGGGCCCACAGGGCAGCGGGGGCAATGAGGCTGGCTCTGGGGCAGAGGACGCCACCATGTGCCCAAAGGGCTGCTCTGGAATCGAAGGCATCTGGGGAGACAGGAGTCAGGAGAAGAAGCAAGTGAGACAGGGGTAGCTCTAGAAAACGAAAGAGGCCTCAAACAAGATCTGCTCAGAAATCCCAGCCCCTTCCGGGACACCCATTTCCCTTCCAGACCCCAGAGTGCCTCAGACAAAACTCTAAGCACCCCCTCAAGTCTTGCCAGGCCTAGAGAGGAAGAGGTGGGTGAGAGTGAGAACCTCCTGGACCCTTGGCTGGCACCTTAGATGCCCTTTGGTCCCTCAGCTGTCCTTGGACTTGGTTTTGCTCCCTGCAGGCTCCACTAAGTTTGCCGTTGTGCCGCATCCGGACCGCCCTGCACCTGCCCTGCCTTTCTGGCCTGTCTCCCTTGTTTGTCTCCTCTTGCCTCTTTCTGTCCCCCGGGTCCTCCCACCTGCAGAGGCCTCCTGCTCTCCTCACCTCACCTCTCCTCAGGGCAGTCAGTCAGAGCTCCTCTCCCTCCAGCGCTCTTCCCAGCTCTTCCTCAAACATGCCCAAGGGGTCAGGCCAGTTACCTCAGAGGAGGGCGGAAGGGAGGGTACATCCTGTTGCTGGGCAACTGCGCCACAACTACCCCTGCCTCCGTGGAGTGTTTCCAAGGCAACCTGGGGGGATGTGGTCACTGTGGTGAAGAGGCATTTCCTGGGGAGTGGTAGGGCAGTGGCTCTGTTGAACTTAGTCTCATCTTAGAACCAGGCCCCAAGCCCCAGAACATTCTCCCAGAGACCGTGAAAGAGGAGACAGGGACTCTGGCCCCTCGTTCTTAGAACACCGAGGCATCTGGCTCTGCCTGCCAACAGGCAGCACCTGTCCCTACTCTGCCCAGTGGGTATCTTCAAGGTGAGGCTTGCTTGACAATGTCAGGCCTCTAGGAAGAGTCCAGGGCCAAATAGGCAGAGGCCTGTCTCCAAGAGCCGGAACACTTGCCAAGCCAGCTCCTTTCTCCTGTGCTGGGAGCAGAGATGCTGAGCAGGGTGGATAGAGCGTCCTTAGCTCCTGGGCTGGAGTCTTTTTCAGAGACTGTCTAGCTCGACTCACTCCCTGACAGAAAACAAGCCCTAGGAAGGGAAGTGTCGCGCCCACAGTCACACATGTGTGTGGGAGGGAGGGCAGAGGCGTAGATAAAAATACCTGGTCTGGCAAGCTCCCTGAACACAACACAACTCTTACTAGGTATGAATATTTTGTTTTGCAAGGTAACAGCCACTTCATGTGAAAGGCAAAAAAAAAAAATGTCAAAATAGTCACAAGGGCAGCCTGACTCAGGTGCTTCTGTCCTGGTGATCTTGAGGAAAGGGCCAGCGGAGCACAAAGCGGGGTACAGAGAGGAAGGAGGGGGAAATGGAGAGTTCCATGGCTCTGGGCTTTATGACATATGCAGAAACTTGATGAGATTAGAATTTGATGAAATCAGAAGACTATCAACCTGCACTCAATACCACTGAACTGGACACTTAAGAATGGCTAAGATAAGGGCCTCCCCTGTGGTGCAGCGGTTGAGCGCTGGGTTGCGAAGCTGCCCGCGGCCTCTGCGGCGCCAGTTCAATCCTTGGCTGCTCCCCGGCCACCAGAGGAGGGTCCCACATGGCACACAGACCTCTCCTGCCGCCCGCTGCTCCCCTCAGCAGTGTACTTCGGTCCTTCTGCCTGCTCTGCTCCCCGCTCTGGCTCTGGTGAATTCTCTCACCCTCCCGCGCTTCTGACTGTACCCAGTGCATGTATAAACAAAAACAAACAAACAAATAAATAAATAAATAAATAAAATGCCTTACTAGAGCATCTTAAAAAAAAAAAAAAGAATGGCTAAGATAGAAAATTTACATGACATGTATTTACACCAATAGAAAAAGTTTTATATTAAAAAATCCAAATAAATAAACATTTGTTATTTATTTAGTTGTTATGTATGTGCTTTGCTAATTCATCTTTATTTAGAAAAAATAAAACACTTAAGGAATAAACATTATTAAAAGCCAGAAAGATCGGTCATGTATGATGTTCCTGTTTCTAAGATATCAGACTGGTTGTTTTGATTCTTAACTTTCATCACTTACAAAACACCCTAAGGGGGGCCTCCCTGGTGGCACAAGGGGTTAAGCACCCCACTATGAAGCATGCAGCCTCTGCAGCATGAGCTCGATCCCTGGCTGGCCAGGGAGCTAAATAAATACATCTTTATTTTTTAAAGATGTATTTATTTATTTATTTATCTTTATTTTTTTATTAAAGATGTATTTATTTATGCATACGAGAGCTGGGGTGCAGGCCAGAGGTGCAGGGCTTGAGAGGATTCACCAGAGACAGTGGGGAACAGAACAGGCAGACCCACCGAAATACACTGCTGAGGGGAGCAGTGGGAGAGCCAGGAGAGGTCTGCTGCGCCATGTGGATCAGCTCCCTGGCCAGGGATGGAACTTGTGCTTCAGTGGCTGCCAATAGCCTCATAGTGCTGAGACTTAACCCCTTGTGCCACCAGGGAGGCCCCACTCAGGAATTTCTGATAAAAGGAATTGGGAAGTTACTCCAGGAGTTTGTGCAAAGAGAAGATTCTGGGTCAGAAGTCTAGGAAACAGGCCTTTGTGGGGGTGTCTTCACTGGGTTGGGGTGTTCAGGTTCGGCCTGACCGTGTTTCTCGCAGACTGGCAGGTGGGCTGCTGTGTGCAAAGTTCTGTCCTTGGTGGCTTTTTGCCTCAAGTCTATGTGTTGGTCTTTTTTTTTTTTTTTAGAAAGGTTTTTTTTTTTTTTTTTTTTTAAGATTTATTTATTTATTTATTTATTTATATAAGCACTGGGTACAGTCAGAAGTGTGGGAGGGTGAGAGAATTCACCAGAGCCAGAGGGGAGAGCAGAGCAGGCAGAGTGATGAAGTACACTGCTGAGGGGAGCAGCGGGCGGCAGGAGAGGTCTGCGCGCCATGTGGGACCCTCGCCCAGCAGCTGGGGATCGAACCTGCGCTGCAGAGGCTGCGGGCAGCTTCGCAACCCAGCGCTCAACAGCTGCGCCACCACCAGGGGAGGCTCCTATGTGTTGGTCTTAAAGAACATGTCCACGAGTTCCTTGACACCCCTCCTGCCTTAGGCAGTTTCATTCCTCCCGTAAGTGCGGAGCTGTGGGTGGCACGGCTTCCGGGCAGAGGAGAAAGGCGTGGAGCCAGCCGCTTGCTTTGGTGGAGGGCTGCTCGCTGCGCTTCTCCCCCCTGCCTCCTCCTTCTTCTTCTCTTTCTTCTTCCTCCCGCTCACGTCTCCTTTCCCTTCTCTCCCTTTCTCCCTCTCCTTCCCCAGCTCTCCCTCCTCCTCCCTCCTCCTCCACCTCCCTCCTCCCTCCCCCCATGCTCCTCTCTTGGCTGATTTCTCTGCTTCCCCACAAGATGAGAGCTGGCCCACAGGCATTCCCAAGGTTTACTTCCGGCAGAGCCGGCCTCCCAGAGTCATTTGGGCTCCGTTCCAAAATTCCAAGAGAGACCTGCTTGGTCCAGGACTGGTGAGGTGTTCAACCTGCAGCTGGGGGAGGGCTGACACTGCCAGACCCCACAGTCCAGCGAGCCATCGAAAGGACAATTCCTCAAAAAGTGGTGCCGCAGCAAAAGAGACAATAACAAAAACAAAGAGAAACCCCACCAACTGGGAGAACATTTTTGCACCCAACACTAATGATAAAGGACTGATCACAAAAATCTGCAAAGAGCTGATGAGACTCAGCAACAACAAAGAAAATAATCCAGTCAAAAAATGGGCAGAAGAGCTAAAAAGAAACTTCTCTGAAGAGGAAATGCAAATGGCCAACAGACATATGAAAAAATGTTCAACATCACTTGTAATCAGGGAAATGCAAATCAAAACTACCATGAGATACCATCTTACACCAGTGAGAATGGCACATATTAAAAAAACTAGCAACAACAAATGTTGGCGAGGGTGTGGAGAAAAAGGAACTCTCCTGCACTGCTGGTGGGAGTGCAAACTGGTCCAACCACTATGGAGAGCTGTGTGGAGATTTCTGGACCTACTAAACATAGAGCTTCCATATGATCCAGCAATTCCACTCCTAGGTATTTACCCAAAGGACACAGAAACATCAATTCCAAAGAACACCTGCACCCCTATGTTTATAGCAGCACTGTTTACAATAGCTAAGCTTTGGAAACAACCCAAATGCCCAAAAATAGATGACTGGATCAAGAAGATGTGGTACATATATACCATGGAATATTACTCAGCATTCAAAAAAAGACAAACATATGCAATTTGCAGCAACATGGATGGCGCTGGAAGGGATCATGCTCAGCGAAATAAGCCAAAAAGAAAAAGAAAAATACCGGATGGTCTCACTCATAGCAGGAATCTAGAAAACTTAAATAAGGGACCAGGAAAATGAATATAAGAAAGTGAAAATCAAAATCAACAAAAAACTATGAACCAGAGACACTTTTTGGGGGGTGGGGGCGGGAGGGGAAGGATTGGGGTCAGAATGGGGCGTTTGCAATTGTATGGGGGAATATAAAAATAAAATTTATTATTTAAAAAAAAAAAAAGTGGTGCTGGTCAAATAATCCCAAGTGTGACCCCCTCTGGGCCAGGAGCCGGGGGACCCCTCAGGGGCTGAAGACTAGAGCAGTGGATCTTGAATCACCAGGGAAACCTAGGAGATTCTGATGTGCTCGGTCGGAGGCGCACAGTCCAGGCGATTGGACAGGCAGAAGGCAGCTCTGTGCCGTCGCCTTCCACAGAGGGCCCCACTACCACCAACAAGGTCAAGCTGAAATTCCTTGGCTTAGCACACAAGGGCCTTCTCACTCTCCAGACTTTACCATTTGTGCCACCGCCTCACACTCATATGCGTGGCTCCCTGGGCCGGCTGTGCACCTTCCTCATATAGGAACTTATTTGTCCATCTGTCCATCCATCCACCCAATGACAAAGGTCCAGTAATGTGCTATTTTTGGGTACCAGGGACAGAGTTTCTTTCCCCTTGAGACTGGAACAACCCTCTATCCTGCTCATTTTTACTAGTCTATCGAGACTCGGTTAAAAACATAATACCTTTGGGAAGCCGTGGCTTATCCAAAGACTAGGAGCTGGAGTTCCTTCTGTGGCGAGTGGAAAGGGTGTGCACAGGAGGACTCCAAGAGTAATGATGCTTGTCTATTCACCCAGGATCTTTGACTCCATCTCTGGGCTCAACTCCAAGAAAAAATGATCAGAAACCATCCAAGATGGATTGACCTAGATTTCCAAATAAGGCATCAAGTCACGTTCACTAGCAGCGACACGATGCTGAAAGTTTGGCTGACCACCTAGTTTCCAGGGAAAGTAGCCGTTGTGGGTGGGGAGTGTGCATGGAGCATGCGCTTGGGCTTGTGGATGAGGGTGCGTCAGGCTCCCTGAGGATGAACTGTACGGAGTTGCAGTTGGGGGGCAGCTACAAGGACGCTCTGGGGAGCCCAGCTACTTCCTCACCAAGGACTCACTTGCCAGGGAAATATACCACCTGTCCACCTG